TGAACCGCATGATCCAGAGGCTGACGGCCGAGGTGGAGAACGCCAAGTGCCAGGTACGGAAAGGGGCCCGCCCTTCAATACAGGAGGAGAGGAGGCTGGTCTGCAGTGCACATGCAAACGTGAGACAAGGAGCAAACATCAAAGAACGACACTATCTCCTGCATGGACAATGCTCTCCATTTTCACTGAATGGAAGCAGGGGAGCAGAAGGGAGGGAAGCGAGGTGACAAGGGCTTTCCTAGTCCTGGGGGCACAATGAGGCAGAAGAAATAGCACTGGTCCGGGGTAGGAAAATTGGACTCTCAAACCAGCCCTGTCACTAGCTCTCCATGCAGCTGGAGAAAGCTTTTAGCCTGTATGGCCCCTTGTTCAAGATCAGTGATCAGCACTCACACGTCAGCAGAGGTTAGTAAGAGTGACACCGTCTGTACCCAAGGCAGTAGGGTGCGGTAGGGATTGCAGCAAACTAGAAAGCACAAAGAGCAGAACTAGCCAGATCAAACTGAGGCAAGCCATGTAGAAATGCAGGTCCAAATTTTGACTTTTCCAAAGTCACCAGGAATCTGGATTTTCAAAATGAAGGCACCATGCCAACATTTCTGAGTGTACTAGTTTGCAACCCCTGACTGAATAAATGGTTGAGTCCGCTTCCTCTGATAGTCAACAGTCAGTGCATGCTTGGCTTCCAATCCTGAATCTAAACCAGGGAGCCTTAATAACCTGTCCCTGCCCCACTCCCAGAACTCCAAGCTGGAGGCCGCGGTGACCCAGTCTGAGCAGCAGGGCGAGGCAGCCCTCACTGATGCCCGCTGCAAGCTGGCCAGTCTGGAGGAGGCCCTGCAGAAGGCCAAGCAGGACATGGCCTGCCTGCTCAAGGAGTACCAGGAGGTGATGAACTCCAAGCTGGGCCTGGACATCGAGATCGCCACCTACAGGCGCCTGCTGGAGGGCGAGGAGCAGAGGTGAGGAGTACACCTGTGGGGAGTGTGTCTCTTCCATAGCAGATTTCATATTATTTACATCTAGTTTGCATTAATATTACTTAGAGGAGGGACTTTACATGTTAACAGCAGATTTCATGGCTTTACTCTCAACTAATTGTCCCTTTCTTCTTCCCCCAAGGCTGTGTGAGGGCGTTGGTGCTGTGAATGTCTGTAAGTAACCTATATTGGGGTTTCAGAAATAAGGACTTAGGGTTCTAGGGGGGCACACTTTCTCCTAAAGGGCAGAAGTATTTTAGACTATGGGCCTGCAGTCTGTGTCACCTGCTCAGTTATGTTGTGGTGTGAACACAGCCACAGCCCTAGGCAACACTTAAAGGAATAGATATGGCTGAGTCCCAATAAAACTTTTTTACAGAACAGGAAGCCAGCAAGTGATATAGTTTGCAGACCCTAAGAGGGAGCAGGTGGGGAGTGAGTGATTAAGGCTTTTAAATAGCTGTTTCTGCCTACTAGAAGCTCCTGAAAAGTATGGCAGGGTGGAGTGCCCAGGTGTGAGGCTGTTGCTAGGGGGCTGGCAAGGAGCTCTCAGCAACAGAAGTGGGGTTAGCAGGTAGCGGCCGAAGACTCCCACGGGGCTAAGCTCAGTCCCTCCCTGCAGGTGTGAGCAGCTCCCGGGGCGGGGTCGTGTGCGGAGACCTCTGCGTGTCGGGCTCCCGGCCTGTGACCGGCAGCGTCTGCAGCGCCCCCTGCAGCGGGAACTTGGCAGTGACCACTGGCATGTGCGCGCCCTGCGGCCAGAGCTGCGGAAGTGGCCGCTCTGTGCGGTTCGCGTAGAGCCCCCAACTTTGCAAGACGCTGCTCCGAGCCCACTGCCCCTGCCTCCCACCTTGGTTCCGGAGCTCCGAAGGCCCCTGGAGCTTGCGCCCCTCCCCACTTGTCTCTTCATTTCTTCTCCTGAGGGCTCCTGTACAGGTCTGGCAGCTCTCCCCCACCCCCAGGTGTCTAAATGAAAGGCTTCCTACCAGCCCGGGGCAGAGACCCAATCCCAACTCGGGCTGCTCTGGAACTTGGATGTCTGTGGCTTCTGAGGGGTAGACTGGTCCCAGGGCCCCTGGGGTGTGGACGTGCTGTGAGCTGTGCCTCCCGGGCTTTTCAAACCGCCCCCATGGGGCAAGGATCTGTGGCTGCCTGGGCTCCCTCTCCCCTTCCTGGGTGCTTGGTCTCCACGTTTCCAATAAAGCTCAATATGTATAATGCGATCCGAGAATCTCCCCTTGATCTGCACGCTTTGCCTTCCTGCCCAGATTTCTACGTCAGAGGCCAACAGAGGCGCTGTCCTTGGCCAGGGGCGGGAGGGAGAGAGCACTGTCTTCGGGACCCTACCCTAGTCACTCACGAATCCTGAAGGGCCTAGGGTCCTAAAACCCAGGTACACTGAGCCCAAAGGAAGGATATAAGGGCAGCAGGAGGAGCTTTCGCCCAGTGGGGAAGCGTGCGAATTGAATCGCCCATCTTGGCTGAAGGCCTCAGCGGACACCTCTGGTCCACTTTCTGCACTCCCCCTCCCCACTCACTGCTCAGTCTATGAAACTCCCATCCTTGGGGTCAAATGCACAGACTTCCTCTCGAAGTCAACACTTCATAGGAGCTGGCTCGCTCTCACACATACCATCACCCCCTGGGGACCTCTCACCTCCAGGGACTGTCATTTGTCCTGCCATCTCCATTCATAGGCCTGACACAAAACAGACACACAGGCCCCCTGTAAGAGAGTCCCTCCAGGCTCCAGGGCCTGGCCTGCCCCTGCCCCTGGCAGACCCACCAGGAAGGGCCCGAGGGAGCTGGCATGAGAGTTGGCTGGGCTACCCGAAATCCTGGGGGGCATTCGCGGCCTCTCATCACAGGAGGAATGTACCCTGGCAGCACAGGGCATGGGGTTGGGTGTCCAAACAGCCCCAGGGCCCCTCAGCGGGGGAGGACTTCAGTGCCCACTTGCTAGCAAAGCCTGAATTTTCCAGATGCCTTTCTGGACTTCCTCAGGAGGGGTGCTGGAACCAGCCCCAGCCCTGGGAGGAGCCCCAAGACTCCCGTGAGAGGAGTCCAGTGCCACAGAGCAGCCCCCAAGTTGCCTGTGCACTCTCAGCCTTCTGCATGAGGGGCTTCCGGTTCCAGGGCAGACCCTGCCTCTCCGCCTCCCTTCCTCTCCCTTCCCTCTCAGCCTACTGAATCCAGGACACTGGGTACCAGGCCAGGGACTCACCCAGGCCTCAGAAAGAGGCTGCTTTATTGGGGGCTACTCTGGAGTCATTTTTCAGACTGTTTTGCAGTTGTGGGACCAGGGAGGTGAGACAGGGAGGGAGTCCTCCTGTGACTGTGCAGAGCGGGTAAGGGTCTCCTCAGACCGGCAGCTCAGTTGTGGACACTCTTGTGGACCGTGGATGTGTTCCTGATGGAATAGGCCTTGAGGGCCCCAGGGCCCCCACTGCTCGAGAAGCGCAGAGCGTTGCTGCCCATGGTTCCCCCGAAGACCAGCCCACTGCCACCTCCACCGGTGGAATTCACCACGGCTAGGAGAGAAGGGAGGAAGGCTGTGTGAGTGTGAGGCCCCCACCCTCCACTCCTCCCCACTCCTATGTGAGTGTGAGGCCCCCATCCCTCCACTCCTCCCCACTCCTAGCACAGCTGCCCCTCCCTTACCCCTGCCTCCCCTCCCCACCTCCCATCTGGCCAACCCAAAGAGAACTCTGACAGTGATAGCGGCTGTGGCCCTCCTGCACAGCTTCCCCATAGCCTGGAGGGTATGATCCCAGGGGACCTGCCAGAGCTGGGGAAGGGACTGTCTGCCATTCTGGAGACACAGCCTATCTGGATAGCACAGGGGACGTTCCCAAAGACTTACAGATGTTCACGGTGCCCACGCCATCTCCAGCCAACCTATGGGCAGAGAACGGACCTGTGAGGGCAGCTCTTGTCTCAACGCTGGAGGAAAGCACTCCTAGGCCCTCCTCCTTGCAGGGCCCGGGGAGGATCCTTGTTCTTCCCTTCGCTATCCCACACTTCCAAACTGCCTTCAGCCTTGCTGCAAAACCAGTGAGGACCCCTTACCTGCTGATGGTGTGATCTTGGGTGATGTCTCAAAGCCTTATTTCCTATAGATAAAATGGGCCTCCCTGCAGGACCAACTTCATAGGCTTGTTTGTGAGGCTTGAATGACATAATTTACCGAAAGCTCTAGGCACCCAGGAGTCAGTAAATGGTAGCTGCTCTTATTGTTTATGTAAATATCTACGTTTCCTCATCAGATCATAAAATCCCAGAAGTGGACTGTAGCCTATTGATCCCTGTGTCTCCAGCCCTTAGCACGAGGCCTGGCTCATAGTAATTCCTTAATGCGTGTAGAAATAATTAGTGAGCTGTTGGCTGATTGAATGGGATTCCGGCCAGGCTGAGACAGGATAGATGGGGTGACTAATTAACCTGTGGGGCTGACAAAGATCTTGCAGTGGAAATTAAAAAGCCATGAGACAGCTGGCTATGTTTGTTTTGTGACTCACCACCCCATTGTCACCAAGTTCTTGGCCTTGGGGAACATTTGCTCTGCATGGGGGACAGGGGACCTTACCTTGGCAGAGGGTGTGAGGGGAGCTCAGCTGGCCTTGGAAGCCTCAATCCCAGGAAGGTGGCAGAACAAAGACCAAGAACATGAAATGGGTTTTCTGGAAGTTTCCAGTCCCCTTGTTCAAATGGCCCTTGTAGGTGCTGGCTATTGCCGGCAGGTGTGAGTAGAAGGGACAGCCAGGGTGCACCAGGCAGCGATTCTACACGAGAACATCTAGTACAGCCCGAAACATAGAGGGAAGCCACCTCCATGTCCAAAGCTCTGGCGATTTGACTGTTTTCTTTTCTCATTTAAATGAGTACTTATTTTGTGCCTGATTTTATATTTGTAACTTTGTATTCTTAAAGAAGGTACTCCAAATTGTGTATTTCTAGACCACTCATCCTAGAGCTGCCCCTTGGAAGGACAGAGGTGTTAACTGATAAAAGCAAAGCGTCTATCTCCGCGTCCCCCCCAGGAACAGGGAAGGGATGATTTCCTCTCAGAGAACCAGGAGCTGAGCTTGATTACAACAACCTAGGCAAGACTGGGCCATTAGAAGGGGATGTCTCTGCTTGCTGTGTGACGTTGGGCACATCACTCACTATCTCTGAGCTTCAGTCCCGTCATCTGCTCTTGGAGGAAACTGGATCAGGTCCCACTCTAAGGGTCCCCCAGCTCGACTTCTATAAGGAAAACAGGCCCAAGGTATGCATTCCCAAGAGGGAGGGCCCCTGCACCCACAGGGGAGGAGAGTGCGAAGGGGGAGGGCGTCTTGGCTGGAGCTGCCTGTGCCCCAGACCAGCTTCTTATTTCCCTTTGGTGTTCAGGTCCCCACACTGCCATGTGCACATGTAGCCTCCTGCATGAGGGGCCTCCTACTTACCAGAGAGGACTACGTTTCTACTCCCCCACCCCAGCACCTCCCTCCCCACTTCCTCCTCCTTCCCACCTCCTGCTGCCATGTTTCTCCTCTCCCTTAAACACCCTCCTCTCCTCTTGCCCTAGCCCTGCAGGAACAATGCTCAGAAAAGGAAAAAGTTCTCTCATCTACTCGGAATTTTACAAATACAAGTTACTAGTCTCTGAGTGCTTTCCTTCACAGATGTTTTGACCTATAACCTCTCTGAGGACAAAAATTTGTCCTATAAATTATCTTTCACCATGGGGCCTCTGACAAAGGAAGCACGATGAGTCTGGCTGTGGTTTTCCACTTTCTCCAGGTCTTAACTTAACCGAAGCTAAGACTCCAAAGTCTGGGTTGTCTGAAAGAGACCAGCCAACCCAACAATGTGAGAAGGAAGCCTGGACACCAGACGGGGGTGCCTCTTCTCTCATGAAGAATCCCCTGTAACACTAACCCATCCCAGCCTCCTCTCTGACTACGGGTGAGGACGCAAATGCCTTACACACATATCTCTAGGACACAGGAAACTGCTCATCCCCCACTCTCAGTCAACACCGCACGATGCAGCACTTAATTATGTAGTAAGAAGCCACCTGGCATCATGGAAGAGGCTTGAACCCGGAATTAGCACACCTCACTGCACACTGGCCCTGATCCCTCTATTTTCAATAGTAAAACTAGGGACCAGTAGTTGGCATAGTGGCTATGTCATTAGACTCCCATGTAGTCGACCGCAGTTCGAGTCCTGGACGCAGTGGCTTAAACTCATGCCGAGTGCGTGTGCGTGCGTGCCCAAGATCCCAAGAGGAGAATAGAGGAGAAGGGATTGCGGCATGGCCATCCCCCTGGGGGGTGATTTCTCACTTTCTGTCTCTCTTTCTCTCTCTGTCTTTCTGGCGAGCACATGTGCCCTATAGAAAAAACCTCCCCCCCAAAAAAAGTAAAACCAGACCGCAGCTTGCCCTTCTGAGGACCAGAGAATCCATGGGGTCTGACCTGCTTACCTGAATGTGCTCTGAGGACCAGATGTGATAACCCTGCTAGTGGCCACACACACAAGGAGGCTGTTATTACTTCAACTTTCCCACTAAGCTCTACACCACATGGTCTTTCCTTCTAGAAGGTCATCGAGGGCAAAGAAGCAAGCACCAGCTCTGCGCATCTGCCACCCCATGCCCTGCAGAGTAGGTGCATGCAAGAAATGCCAATAGGTAGATGAGTGACAAGCCACTGGCTCCACTGAGCCCCGGGATCCCCAGGTTCCCTGTCCCTCACCGGCTCTCCTCGCCCTCCAGCAGCTTGCGGTAGGTGGCGATCTCGATGTCCAGGGCCAGCTTGGTGTTCATGAGCTCCTGGTACTCGCGTAGCTGCCGCGCCATGTCCTGTTTGGCCCGCTGCAGGGCGGCTTCTAACTCCTTCTGCTTGGCACGAGCGTCCTTGAGTGCCAGCTCTCCACGCTCCTCAGCCTCGGTGATGGCAGCCTCCAACTTGGCACACTGTGGGCAGCAGTGGAGCTGTGAACTGCAGAACAGGGCTCGCCAGTCTCTGCCTTCCTGCCTGCCCAGCCTGCAGCAGGCACCTGGGCCACTTGCTTAAAATGACTTCATAGGCACCATCTATGCCTCCAAGCACCAGGGAATCTCGAGGGTTAGACCCATAGATTTGGATATCCAATGTCTAAGTTCCAACTCCGGTTCTGCCACTTACTGGCTATGTGACGATTCAACCTGTATAAGCCAACCTCCCGTTTTCTAAGATTAACTATCAGTGTCTAGCTCAGGGGAGTGCTGCAAGGATGAGATGAGATAATACACAAGAAGTCCTTGGCACAATGTCTAGCCCACACAGGTGCTTCCACACTAATACGATTCTACTAATAAATGCTATTATGAGTTGCAAATGTCCAGCCCCCAGCTGGAGGAGCTCTAAGGCTATAGGATCCTCGTTGAGTCTCTGATGTCTGGCAGCTGACAAGGTCCAGAAACAACCTTTAAAACAGGTACCAAGTGGGAACAAGACCAAAAGAGGTGGGCTTGGAGCACAGAGATCGTCCCACTCCTTGACCCAAAATGCATGCCACAACCATGGGTTTGGGCAGGGGTGGTCTGGCTCCGATGGACCTGCATCTGTCTTGAGCACTGCCACTTCCCACCTGGCCTTAGAGTCCCTCTGTTTTGGGCTCCTGCCTCATTACCAGGAGCCTGTCCTGTTCTGAGCCTCATCTTATTCAGCTCAGGGTGCTGCCCTCCCCACCCTAGCCCAGAGCTCCTGCTCCTCCCTCCTCCCCAGCCATTCTCCTCCCCAGCCGAGGCTCCTCTTCCCTCTGCTGAGGCACCTGCCTCTATGCCCAGCCACCCAGCTCTCCCCAGGAGGCCCTCAGACGCTCTCTGCCCCACGACCTTGCCTATCCTATTGGTGCCCCAGGGCTAGGGCCGTTCCTGTGGCTTCTGGAAGTCCCTTCCAGCTCCTCTCGAGGGCGCTCGATGGTGGGAAACACCCCAGCTCTGGAGCCTGGCTCTGTCCCATTGTGTGAGAAGAGGACTGGATGTAGTGGAGGCTATCGGGCTTGGGAAAGAGCCACTCATTACTCTGCTTTCTCTCCGGGCCTGGAAGCTGGCCACCTCACAGTGACTCACAGCCCTGAGGCTATGCCAGGAGGTAGAGTCTGCCTCTGTAAACAGGCCTGCAGGGCTTCACGGGGAGGATACTTGTAGGTAAATCGCCCCCACATCCCAGTAGGCGGGAAATTGGCCTGGAAATTCGTTTCTGAGGCTGCTACATGTGGCACCTTTCCTCCTGCCCTCCTACTGCAGACACTGCTCAGGCTGAACCCCTCTATTCTTATACCTCAGCCAGCACTCAGGGGGCACCTCCCTCATCAATGCCCCCAGCCCAGCTTCCAGCAAAGCACATCCTCCCAGTCATCCCTCACCTGGGATCTGTACCCCTGCCAAGAGCCAGGTGCTAGAAGATAGGAGCAGTGACCCACGAGACATTTGTCACATCCCAGGAGAGGTCGGGCCATCAGTAGCTTAATTAAGACAAACAGTTTCGGAGAATGATAGGTTTTTCAAAGAGCTTCAGACAGGCTGTGATACAGCAGGGGGTGGCAGAGGAAGCCATCTCTGAAAACGTGTCTTTTGTCCTAAGGCTCAGGATGAGAAAGGGCCAGCATGGACGGAGCTGGGAGAACCACATTCCAGGTGCGGGGAACACCAGTGTGAAAGCCCTGAAGCGTGAACACGCTTGGCAAGTGTGCAAGGTACAGGAAGCCAGCTAGCAGGACCTGAGGGGAGGGGGACCGTGGGAAGCGAGGTCAGGGAGAGTAAGTGTTCCCGCTGGCTCTGTCCCCTGTGAACGGTGAGCTCCCAGGGACGGGAGGCGCACCACATCAGAGCAAGTGCGAGCAGAGCGCCCAGTACCAATACAGTAACTAGTGGTGGTTCTTCTCAGCCGGCCAGCCTGTGCTTCCTCCCCGGGCACAGTGCACAGCCCAGTCTCATCTCCTCGCTTTGACCCCATGCCAGGACCCAGCCAAGAACACACTGTCTCACAAGTGGACCTTAGGCTTCAGTGCACCAACTTTGGCCCAGGGAGGACAGGACTAATGCTCTGCCCTCCACCCTCCGCTCCTCCTGAGCTTGATCTCTGTGGGCTGCCCTTCGCAGGCCCCAGGAGTGAGGAGGAGTGAGCAGAGGGCATGTCCCACCTGGTTCTTGACGTTGTTGATCTCGGCCTGCAGCCTCTGGATGGCACGGTTCATCTCTGCAATCTCATTCCGGGTATTCCGGAGTGTATCCCCGTGCTTTCCAGCCTGGGCCTGCAGGGTCTCGAACTGGAAGGGCCATCAGAGAAGTAGGGCAGGCGGTAAGCAATGATTGCAGGTGACTCGGCATTTGCCCATCCAAGAAAGGCCCATTTCAGCTTATATTTCCAGGGAAGGATAGTCTGACTCCCAGCAAGCTTCACCTGATGCCAGGAGGCCAGACTGCTGGGTGATGGAATGGGGAAGGGGGGTTTAGGCTCCTCCCAGCCAGGACAGAGAGGACAGGGAAGGCTCCCTGGGGCCCACCTCCACTGCCCCTGGGGCTCTTCACACTCTCACTGTGCCCTAGTGCAGGAGAACCACTGCCAGCCTCAGACACTCCCCAGTTCGACAGCTCTAATCCCAGCACCACCCACTTTACAGATGAGGAGAGTGAGTCCTGGAGAAGGGAAAGCACCTTCCAGGGGTCACACAACTAATCAACGGCAAAGTGAGGACCTGAGCCCAGGGCTTCCTGCTGGCATGCCTGTGTTCTCACCCAGGCACCATGGATGACTGTCTTCACAGAAAAATTCCTCTGCGCTGCTCTTAAACCTTGCCTGGACTCCGTCCTCCGAGAACATGGGTTTGCCCTAGCACTGCCTCCCAGTCCCTCATAGAGAGCTGGCCTACCTCCATAAAGTACAGGGAATGAGTCTGGAACCCTAGGATTCAGGATCTAGTCCCTGCTCTTCCATCTACTGGCTCCATGGAGTTAGGCAACTTATTTAACCTCTCTGTGCCTTTATTCACCTTTAAAATGGAGAGATTATGATGTCTGCCCAATAGGGCTGTTCTGTGGGCTAGTCAATGCAGGTAAAACGTCTGAAACATTGCCTAGTACAATGTGAGTATGTGCCAAATTTTACCTATGATAATTAAGAATCCACACCTATTTCCTCTACCCTGTGCCCTATCAGGCTGGGATTGCCCCCACCCCCAACCTTCCCCAACCAGGACCAGGCCTCTGCATCCTCATTTTCCCTGGACACTAGAGAGTACCACAGACCTAACCACAGGTGCCTTCCAGGACACTGGGACCCCAGGGCTGGAAGGCTGGAGATAAGATGAGAAGTAAGGAAGCTGCCACAAGGACCTGGCAGGAGGAGGAAAGGCGCCCCAGCGGCCACACCTTGGTCTGGTACCAGGTTTCGGCCTCAGCCCGGCTGCGGTTGGCCATGTCCTCGTACTGGGTGCGGACCTCGGCGATGATGCTGTCCAGGTCCAGGGAGCGGCTGTTGTCCATGGACAGCACCACAGATGTGTCCTGAATCTGGGACTGCAGCTCTGTCAGCTCCTGTCGGGACCAGACAGAACATCGGACTGGGAGCACGGCCCGTCCTGTGCCCGTGCCCACCCTGGGATTACCCACACACAAGGAAAAGAGAAAGAAAGAGGTCTGGAGTGGGCTGAGGGGCAAGTCAGTGAGGGGGCGTGGACCCAGCAGGCGTTGTAGGGCTCTTTCTGCACACACCTGGCTCCACAAAGAGCCCATTAAAACGTTTCCAGTAACAGTCCCGTAGGTTGAATAGGAGGCAGAGAGTAACAGTGTGGTGAGCTGCGATGGTCCTCACACGAAGGTCCCTCACTACGAAGTGCTCTTGGGTTGTGAAGGGGGGCCAGTGAGGGGAGGATGACAGAAATCCCGTCCCACCCTAGAACAGCTATTCCGCAGCCTTTAAGCTGGTAAGAGAGCTGCTTTTATGGACAGGGAAGTGCGTCCGTGATAAACTGTCCCATGAAAAAAGGTATGGTTCTATTTTTATTAAAAGTATATATTTCTTGGCCAGCCAGTGGTGGTGAAGGGGGCTGGATCCCACATGGTTGACTGTGCAGTTTGAGTCTCAGACTCAGTGGCTTGAAAAACACATCGGGCCCATTTGTTTAGATGGGCCCAAAATCCTGAGAGGAGGATAGAGGAAAAGGGATTGCAGCGTGGCCATTCTTCCTGGGAGGCGCTTTCTTACTCTGCCACCACGCCCCATTGCTCTGGAGAGTATACACGCCCAATAGCAAAATTTAAAACACGTATTTCAATGTCTCTATGTGTGTTTATGTACAGACATAGTAAGAACGGTTGATACAAAGATCATACAGTAGGTATAAGTGATCTCAATTTTGTGATTTACTTAACTTACTCGATTTTTTGCAATGAGTATGTATTACTTTTACAGTGAGAACAATTTTCTACATGTATATCATATGCCTATGTGTGTGTGTATATATATGTGTGTGTGCGTATGTATAAATATATACATACAACTCACAACATATGTGATAGACCTTGCACTGAGACTAGAAGTGCCCAAAATAAGCCTCAAGGACCCAGCCCCTAAATGAATGCACACATGCAAATTTACTCTGACTGGCTAGAAAAGACTAGGCTGGAGAGAACAAGGAACTGGTCCATAATTAGCCTCACATGCTAATATGCCCCAGCCCAGCTTCTGCAACATGACTGGCTACCCTACCTTCCACCTAAGGCCACTACTGGGAATGGAGAGGCTTTCAAATCCTCAATCCCTAGGAGGGAAAAGAGCTGGAAGCCGAGGGCAGGGTAAGGATGAAAGAGAGAGAGAACGCCTGAGAAGGCCAGACAGAAAAGCGGTTGGCTGGTGGGCAGCCACCCACCCAGGCCCTCTGGATATAAACTACAGGGTACTCCAGTCTCTCCTGACCTGGGCTCCCCTGCCTGCCCCACTCAGCCCACCTTTAACCCTATTGCAGCCTAGGATCCTCAGCCACCTTCAGTCCCACCCAGTCCCCCTCCTGACAAATGCTGCAGTCATCCGTGTCTCCTGAAGGCCAGCCCTGATGGACGCCACCTGCTCTGCTACACCCAGCTCCTGCTGTTATGGATTCTGAGTCCAGAATAGGCAAAGAGCAGGAAGACCCCTGACACCCCAACACACAGCAGACGGGCCCAGAGGCAGGGAACTGGACCAGAGGGCCCCTGGTTAGGGCATGTGGGACACGACATATCCTCACCGTCTCATTAATGTTCTTCAGAAAGTTGATCTCATCATTCAAGGCATCCACCTTGGCCTCCAGCTCCACCTTATTCATGTAGGCAGCGTCCACATCCTGGGAGGACAGGATGCAAGAGGGGCAGGGGATCCCGTGTCCTTACTAAAGGAACATTTAGTAGCGGTAGGAGAAGCTGGCCCTGTCCAAGCCCCAGGGCCAAACCCCAGTGCCCTACCAAGAAACCCAGTTTTCCCCTGACTGCCCACCATGAGCAGGGGCCTTCAGGCTGCCCTGTGGGCACCACCTCCACACATCATCTCAGGGCTGGGACTGCCTTCTCAGCACTGGCCACCCAGAGCAACCTAAAGCCCCAAACCTGCATTTAATCTGTTTCTAAAGGTGTTGCACCCCCTAGCTGGGAGACCTGAAACAAACCTCTTCAATTCTGCCAGCCTCAACATGTCATCAGTTACTAGGGGAGTATAAGCCATTCCAGATCCAGGATGCCTCTAGCCTGGGTGTTTAACTTGCAGCACAAGAGACTGATGCAAAGGGGCCATGGACAGTACCCCACGTGGAGATGACACCTGGGCCTTCTAGCTGCACTCTCCTAGGGTTAAACCCAGTGGGCAGGGCCCACTTTTACTTATTCCTGAATCTCTAAGGGCTCAGTTCTTGGGGACAGGTTGCATTTCTGTGGATGAGCTGGAACACTGAGCTGCTCAGTGTGTGGGGAAGAAGAATTTTAAAGGGCTTATAGAACTAAACCCTTTAGAAATTCCTAAGGCCACCCGACCTCCAATTGCACATCTCCAGGGACAGAGAGCTCTTCTGCCTGGAGGCAGCTCATTGCATTCACTCAGCAAATAGTGTAGGCCTGCCACGCGTCACCACCCTCTGAGAAAAATGCCCTGACTGAGACAGAGCACTTCCTTATTCCGGGTTGAGATCTCCCTCACTAACTTCTATCCTTTGGTCTTAGTTCTGGCTAGAGGCCTAGAAGCAAGTCTGGTCACTTACCAAGCACATGCACGCACACGCCCACAGGAAAAGCTGTGCTATCAGGCTTCCAAGCCTCTCCTCCAATCCCATCACTCCCCTCTTTCAAAGCCCAGGCCAGCTCTTAGCCACAGGTCCCCACCGGCTGCTCAGGTGAGGGGTCCTGTAGTCCCCCCGTCCCATCAGATCACCCCCACAAGCCTGTCTTCCCCCTCACCTTCTTCAACACCACAAACTCATTCTCAGCAGCCGTGCGACCATTAATTTCATCTTCATACCTGCAGTAGATGGGGGAGCACGGTGTCGGTGCAGCTTTGCCTCTGCCCTCCCTCCATACTGCTATGAAATCTGCCCTGCCTTCCCGCCATGACTTTCTAATGACACACTTGGGGGAAAAAAAGGTATTAGAGCTATAAATCCAAAGCTCCCTGGCTTCCACATGGCTATTCCTAGGGCTTTGAGTCTTGGTGTAGGGTGAGGGCAGGGGAAGTGGCATGTAGGAAACACGTGACTCAAAAGAAAGGCTGCATATGTTGGGGAGAAGAAAGCAAATAACAGTAGCCATGCTCTGGACTGCCTTCTATGGGGCCTGCGCTCCCATGCATTAACTGGGTTCGTGCTCACAGCAATCCTGCAGCGAAGGTACTGTGATGATCAGGGAAGGCAGCAGACAGAGAGGAGCAGAATCTGCCCAAGTCACTAAGCAGCTAAGTGGCAAAGCTCAGACTTGAGCCCACGCAGCTGACTCCAGAGCCCATGCCTTAATCCCTACCCAGTCCCACCCCGAGGGCTAAAGAAGGGGCCTGAGGGGGAGGAACCTGTGCAATCAGGATGACAGGTGCATAAAGTCCTCAAAGAAGTAGACCACAGCTGGAGGTCTAGCCTCCCAACCCTGCTCTGGCAGTTCCCCCTCCCACCCCTCTTATTCCCAAAGAGCTGGTCCCTGGCCCTTAGAAGGATTTCAACAAACAGGGCACAAAGAGAGCATATGGGTCTGACCCAGTGTTTGCTTGAGGACTCAAAATAAAGGTGCCAGAAACAAGAGCCAGCAGTGCCCAAGAGCTGCTGGGAGCAGTGGGAATGGCCTGGGCAGTGCCAGTGGGGAGCAGGATACCAGACAGGCTGAGACCCTCCAGGAGTCCAGCCCTCAGTAGGAGGTGGCCACCCCCCAAAGTCACACACTCCCTCAGGTCCTGTAGAAGCTATGGAAGTAGCTATGAGGCCATCATTCACCTTGCCTCAGTGCTGTGCTACTAAAGGCAGAGGGTACACAGTTTGGAACTTCCGGCAGGTATGTGCCAGTCCTTCCCTCTGCCCCCCTGCAGCTCCTCCTCCAGATGCACCTGGAGCTCAGCCTGGTCCACTGGAAGGTGCTCTAAGACTTTGAGTGGGGGAGTATGTGTGCAGAGGGTGCGCATGCATGCACACACACGTGAGTCCCTCCCTGCCATGCACCTGTCTGCTTCTACCTGCTGTGGATTAATCCTGCTGACTTCTGCCCCAGGGAAGGGGGCAGGGGACAGAGGCCTTATTTGCTCTCCTCCATGAAGAGCCAGTGTGCCTGTTCCTGCTTAGTCACACAGCCACAGGCAAAGGACAGAACCCACTCACCACCCCCAATGCCCACTAGGCAGGTGTGCCAGGGAGGGGCCCAGCTTCAAACTTCAGGCTCTAGTTTCTATTCAATGAGAAAAGAGCCAGCACCTCAAAGGGCTGTTGGGTCCCTCCTCACAGCAGCCTTTCTGGCCCTTGCCCTGCCCAGACCCACCTGCAGCCTCTGCAACCCCACCCATTACCTGCAATGATCCTTCTCCCTCCTGGCTTCTCTCCTTCTCCTGGGAGCTCCATGTCTCCTGGGAGTCAGGGACTCAAAATTCAAGTCCTAACTGTCCCAGTGAACTGCAATGCTAACTTAACCAAACCCTGAAACTCTCTGGTCTCTAATTCCTTACCCAAAGGGAGGAATGAATTCTCTAGAATGACCTGTGAGGGTTGTACAAGTTCTGAAGCACCCCTGCCATAGAAGACCTTCTGCCCTCCCCTCTCTTGGAGCCTTGGTCAGGCACCCAAAAAAAACCAGGCAGGTCAGAGTTGGGATGAGATATTTCAATGGGACTGAGACAAAAGAAAAGACTTGAATGAACTGGAAACAGGTGCGGGGACAAAGAGGCAGAGGAGGGGCAGGGAATATGGTAGTAAAGGGCGCCCCTCCAGGGCATTCTTCTGAGCAGCTGCACACTGATTCTGGATCCAGAGACACACAGAGGGTCAGGTGAGGACCCTCAGCTGCAGAGAGGCACACTGGCCTGGGGGCAGGGATGCTGGTAGTTTGCACAGAGCTGGGTGGGGGGAGGGCAGAGGGGGACATTACTTGTTCTTGAAGTCTTCCACCACATCCTGCATGGTCCGTAGCTCCACCTCCAGGCGGCCCCCATCTACCTGCAGTGCCTCGAGCTGCCCCCTCAGGCCAGCAATCTGGGCCTCAAAGACACTAGGGAGGCGGCTGCCCTTGGCCGACTTCTGCTCCTGCAGCAGCGCCCACTTGGTCTCCAGCAGCTTGTTCTGCTGCTCCAGAAACCGCACCTGGAAGGGGCATGGAGGAGGCAACTGGTGAGGACCCCACAGCAGGACTGAGGAGGGTCTCTAGTCACCCAGCATAGCCCACATTCCCACTGGCTATGACCCTGGCTGAGGTGCCCCTCTCCTCCGGACTATCTCAGGTGTCACGGGCATCTTCCAGGGAGCTCTGCCAGGTTCACTGCTATATCCAGTGCTTGACTCTCGACAAGTGTGCTGTGGGGCTCCAGCCTCCTTCGCTCCCATTACAGGGGGTCTCTGCTTCCTCGGGGCTGACCCTGCTCCACCCCTTCCTTCAGGCTGGGACTTTTTCTCTTCTTCAGTGTCTTCTTCCCTTCCCCTTTCCTGCAGCAAGGTCTCAGGACAGGGTGCTATAATCAACTCACTATAAAATGAGCACCTACTGTGTGCTCAGCCCTGGTACCAGAGAAAGAAAAACAACTCTTGGGGCCAGCAGGTGGCCTGGTGGTTGAGGTGCTGGACTTTCACATAGCCAGCTACCTGTCAAGTCCAGGACTTGGTGGCTTGCTTTCTCATTCTCTCTCTCTCTCTCTCTCTCTCATTTTCTCTTTCTCTCTTTTCTCTCGTGTGCCCTATAGCCAATTTTTAAATAATAAGTAAATAAAATAAATTAAATTTAAAAAAAGGACCACCAGGTATGACTGGCAGTGGGAGGCAAGAGAAGCCTCCTCAGCACCAGCAATTCAAGGAGCCAGGACAGTTAAGATGGTGTAATTCAAGAGCAGGCAGGGGCCTGGGTCTGGGCCACCTGCAGAACCCAAAGGATGTGCATGACTGAATGAATGGTAAAGGAAAAGAGGACATGGCGGTGGGAGACAGGGAAGTACAGCAAGGCAGGAGAGGAACGGCTTGGGCCACACCTGAAGGAGGAAGCCCTAACCAGAGGGCCCAGCAGGCCCGGCCCTTTGTTCCTTGGTCCAGTCCCACTTTGCCCCACCCCAGACCCACTGCTCAAGCCTGTCCCTCCCCTAGCTGGAGGGATCCACTTCCGCAGGAGCAGACAGCCAGGAAAAACACTTCCCAGATGGCCCCTCCCCAGACCTCTGTGCCACTCTCTGCTCCCAGCTGGGCTATCTCCAAGGGCAGCTGTCTGCACCTCCTGCCACCAGAGAGGCTGGAGGACCAGGCAGGTGGGGTGCGAGCAGCTGGACACCTCCTTTCCTCTGGCCTTTTATTTTCAGCATCGACCTCAGCATTGACAGCGTCTGAGAGCACCAAGGCACCTCTGCTGGGAAGGGCGTCACCCCTACCCCATCCTGACCCCACAAAGCAGCACTTCTCAGGGAACCAGAGGGAGAGCTATTGGTCTTGGCTTCTAGAGCGCCTAGCCTGATGCTGGTCACAAAACTGCCCCAAGAGCCCAAGTGGACTCAGACGCAGCCAGGGCTGCCAGGCAGAACCTGGGTACACATTCCTGGGGGGAAGGGAGGTCCAATTGGGGGGCTTGCTGGAAGAGAGGGGCTTGGGCCTGAGGAGACTAAAATAGCAATAGGCTAATGAGGAAGGGCAAGGCCACGGAGACAGCGGGATAGTGGCAGAAGGATGGGGACACCAGTCCTCCCAGCGCCTGGCCTGTGCAGGCAGGGCTAGTTAGGGCTGTTGCTGTGCCTGGGCGTGGCTCCAGGCAGAGTCCAGTCTGGCTCACCTTGTCGATGAAGGAAGCAAATTTGTCATTGAGGGTCTTGATCTGCTCGCGCTCCTCCTGGCGCACACGCTGGATGGAGGGGTCGATGTCCACCCGCAGAGGGGCCAACAGGTTCTGATTGACGGTGACCTCACGGATGCTGGCGCCTACCGGGCTTCCATAGGCAGAGCGCACGGCCACCAGCGGCCGGGAAGCGCCCAGGCCCAGGCCGTACAGGCTGCTGCTGCCGCCAAAGCCGCCCCGGCTAGCAGAGCTCAGGCGCACCTGGGTGCTGCGACCCGGGAAGGTGGCGGAGCGCGAGCTGAAGTGGATGGACATCGTGGCTGGGCCGGGCTGGACTTAGCGGCAAGCGAGGAGGATCGCGAACTCTCTGACCTCGGGGGACACTCGGTCCCTTTTATGGCCTCGGCGGCGGCGGCGCGGGGTGGGGGGGGTAC